TAAACAATTCAATTTTGAAATGGATTGTACTGAAACCAAAATTGAGATCCTTTATGAAATCCAACACTACTTAAAGAAAATTGATCTTATCCCAATAAATCCATTTTCGAAAATACGCGTGGTTCAAAGTTATGTCTACTCAAAGTTCTTCTGGCGTTTTTCAATCTACTCGCTTACTATAAACTGGATACATTCTAATCTGGACTCCATAATTTCCAAATATATCCGGAAATGGCTCCAGATCCCAATCAGCGGTAACATTAGTCATCTAAAGCTTCCTAAATTACAACTGGGAATTGATTTCTGTTCCCCCTCTGACATATATAATCAATGTAAACTGACAGTGCGCAGAATCTTGAGGACTTCTGTCAACTCCGCGATATTCAACGACAGCTATATACCAAAACGTCATCAAAAAACATCGTCACTGATGATATTATTGAACGGGCGGCTGCTGGTATCTCTGAACAATATATGTTAAGAAACGCTACAAAAAAGATTCTGGTAAAGAAAAACCTTAACGAAGTTTGGTCAAACTTTGTAGAACTAAAAGAACAATCCGTGATCATTACCTGCTTAACTGATACTTGCTATAAGAAGATGATTAAAGTATGGCACGAAATTGTCACTCGAATGCCCAGCAATATAGTATGCTTTGCTAGGAGAGCGTTAATTTTAAGTTGAGGAAATAATTCTAACCTAAAGCGCTGGAACATTCGTGACTCCGCCAACTGTGAGCTGTGCAACAAGTTACAAACCCAGCTACACGTTTTTTCCAACTGCAAGGTAGCCCTAGAACAACAACGCTATACTTGGCGGCATGACTCGATTCTGATGACTATTATTCATCACTTAAAAGTCGCAGTTGGTGCAGATCTTCGACTGTTTGCGGACTGTCCTAATTCAGGTATGACCTGTACTTCAACTTTATTTCGAACGCTAAGACCTGATAAAGTGGTGGATTTTAAGGGTTCTGTATATGTGGTTGAATTAACTGTTCCCTACGAAACCAATTGTACGAAGGCTAAACGTCGCAAGAAAGAAAGATACAGACATCTAAGATCTGAGCTGATCACGGCGTGTTATGCGTTTGAAGTTATTACACTTGAAGTAACCACTCCAGGGTTTGTGTCGAAAGATATTGACAGATTTCGTAGATTATTACGAACACTTGAAATAAACGACGAACGTATTATTAAAAAATGTATGGAGGTAGCTCTGAGAGCAACATTCTACATTTACTGCAGAAGAAACAAGCCGTGGAATAATCCAGACTTACTGAATTTTTATTAGCTACTATTGATACAAAGTGTAGAGAATGGACCTATCTGTCTAACATAGTGAACTGTTTCTCTATTTTCCTGATTTAATTGAAAGTCTAATTATGTGATATATTTGTATAAATTATCATGTTATTAATAAAGATTTCTGTTGTTTAAAAAAAAATAAATTATATTGGTGGGTTCATCATACAGCGCCACAACGAGCTGCGGGATCTTTTAAATGAATAAATGAATAAATTTATTTAATGCCACAAATATGATAATAACAAAGAAAAAAGAAAATACATATATGATATTTAGATCTAATGCAATTTTAGAAAATATTAATGGCAAGGAGACATCCAGAAACCACTAGGCTTGTAAAGTGGATGCCTCCTCTGGTCAGTATTCACACTACAGTATCAAATATTAATATTAAAAAATAATAACGTATAATAACGACAACGACAATATCTTAACATCGTCTGTAATGATGTCGAGTTTGAATCCGTTCTTCAAGAGTTAACTGGCGAGGTTTTACCAAGAGGAGCAAATACAGCATCCGACGCTCGCCTAGATATCCACGCTCGAGGGTTTTGGGAGAAACAAAGGTCCGCGTTCTTTGACGTTAGGGTTTGTCACCCCAACGCGGAATCCTACAAAGACCTGAGCCCTCAACAGATATACAGGCAACATGAAAACGAGAAGAAGAGGATGTATGCCAAAAGAGTGATGGAGATAGAACACGGAACTTTTACACCATTAGTATTTACAACGACCGGAGGCATGAGTGAAGAGTGCAAGAGGTATCATAGCAGATTGGCCGAGCTCATAGCAGCGAAGAAAGGCGAAGACTACTCTACGACCATGTCCTGAATACGAGCCAAGGTCTCCTTTGCCATCTTGCGGTCAGCTCTACTTTGTCTCAGAGGGACTAGAGCACCCAGGAGGATAACAACGAACGTTCAAGAAACGGACTTCGAAGTAGACAATTCTCGTGCCAAAATTTAGGCTTAGACTTTTACCATAAATTAACTGCTTACTATAACATATACTATAACATACTACAACAATTTAGATTTTATAAATTATTATTATTATTATTATTATTATCTTAGTTTTATACCTGTAATATAGTAATATAGGTGTGCCCATCCGAGGGGTATATGATGAGGACGTGCTTTTAGGAGCTCCGCTTTCTTTTTATTCTATTGATTGATTTGGCTTTATATCTTGTGAATAAGTCGAGGAATTCGTACTGATAATGGCTGAGGAATTGCAACTGGCTTGGATGGGAGATTTCGACTCACTGAAACAGTTTGTCAGCGAAAAACTTAATCTAAACGGCGAATGGGTTAGTCCAGGAGGCGATAAGAAATTATTTAATGATGGCTACATATCTATTTCGTGGGGAAAAAATAAGAAAGCCTTACTGATCGACGGCGATGATCGGGATAAATTTAAGAGTAAACTCTGCAGGATGATCTGTGCGAACGACTTCAACAAAGGGAATATGTGCGAAGAAACTACGACTGTGAGTGTTGAATGCCGGTCCGCCTCTCCTATGCGAGCGCCGTTAAGCGAGCTATCAACCGAGGTTGAAGGCATTAAACTCGATGTAACGATAGCAGAGCGGGAAATAGAAGTAAACAAGAGTGCTATAAGCAAAGTTGAGAGCAATCTACACGAGATAAATAGTGGTTACCAAGACCTTCGTCTACAGTTCGATGAATACAAGAAAATAACCGAAGTATTAATTCAGAGGGACAGGTTTCAACATTCGACAACATTTGAATATTCAAACGTGATCGATAAAGTTAATCCAAGCGAAACTAAACGGTACCAAGATGAAGTAAGCCGGCTCAAAAAGGACCTTTCTAGTGAGAGGGAGAAATGCAAGCGCTTGGAAGCTGATCTGTCTATTCTAATCAAAGGAAGATCTTGTGAAGTTAATGAATTGAACGATATTATTGCCTCTCTTGAATTTAAACTTAAAGCCACTGAGGCGACCAATGTGTCCTTGAGAGATCTAATTAAGACCAAAATCTCCAATTCAAAGCAGAATGAAATTTTCCCTAGCAACACTGCCACAAGGAACGATAAACAATGCGCGGTCAATCATGTAGAACAAAGCAATCTTGTCCTTAATCGAGTTTTGGGTGATGAAAACTCCCTGACCGACCTTGCACAGAAGTCGCACGTGACTTCCAATCTAGTCGTTTCCAACAATAGACGCGTCGACAAAGACTTATCAGTTAAGGATAATCAGTTAATTTTAAATAGTGATAACAGCCCAGCCGACCTACTACAAAGCCATAATAATAACCTGATCAATGGCGCCAAATCTCGCGACGGTCAGCACATGAAAGGTAATTCGAATGCAAGGAAATTGCCAAATATTACCGAACTCAAATCCCTACTTCAAGTCCCTGGAGTGTCAGCTACTATGAATGAAGTCGACAACAAGGTTGACACATATCCCATTATCGATGGTCACCACTGCAGTTTGAGGAACGTCAGTTCATCAACTTTTAATGTTCTTAAAGACATAGAATTTTTACCCCTAATCAGTCTCAACGAATCCCTAGAATACAGTCATCAAGTTCCTGTTGATTTCAAACGTCCTTTTCAGGAAAATCCGGGACGGAAGCCACCCCCCTCGATTGTTCGATCCCACCAGCGATCCCCAGAATGGCTAAATCACCTAGTCCTTGTCCGTCAATTAATGAACGCGTAATTAGTTCCAATACTGCTGATATTAACTATCCAAAGAATATCAATATAATAACGCAGCGAAGTAATAAAAATAATTTGAATTCTGTTCCGTCTATTGAACTTGTTTGCAAAATTCCTACTAGAATTACAGTTCGTCGAAATAATTTATGTGCCAAGACAAGGCCGAGAACTCATGCAAGGAAAGTTAATGTCAACAACTTAATATGTGTAAATTTTGTCTCAAATCCAAAACCAGATATGTTACGTTTTGCAACGATTAACGCTAGATCACTAAGAAATAAGGTAGCTGTATTCTCCGACTATATTGTTGATCAAAATATTGATGTTTGTGTTGTAACTGAGACTTGGTTGAAGGACATGGACACAACAAGCATTGCAGGCGTTTGTCTCCCTGGATATTCATTTAAATCATTTCCCCGTCAATCTAACAGATCAGGAGGAGGCACAGGCGTAATGTTTAACACCAATTTATATGTCTCTCTTTCTGGTGGTGGAGAAATGCAATCCTTTGAATATTCAGAGTGGCATTTTTCCATACTTGAATATTCTATTAAACTTATTGCTATCTATCGTCCACCTTATTCCGCGGCTCACCCTGTTCTACCTGGAAAATTCTTTGAAGAATTCTCAAACTATTTGGAGGATATTGTTCTATGTCCAGAAATTCTATTGATTACCGGGGACTTTAATTTTCACTTGGATGATACGGTTAACAGAAACACGATAAAATTTAATGAGATGCTTGAAACATTTGGCCTCAAACAACATGTTTGTACTCCAACATATTCATCCAATCATACACTGGATCTATTGATAAGTCGATCTACAAGTGACATTAATATCCTTTCGATTGAGAGTACTTTCTTTCTGTCCGACCATTGTTTTGTAGAATGTAAATTATCTATTGCTCGTCCAAATGACTCCAAAAAGCTAATTTCTTATCGTGAACTGAAAAAGATTAACATTGTTGACTTTAAACTTGATCTAAGCAATGTGAATTCACATTGCGAAAACATTGCACATCTTGATGAATTAGTGCATTGCTATGATGACGTACTTTCACGTATTTAAAATACCCATGCTCCTGTCCGAAGAAAGCTAATGAAAGTTAAGCGTTCAACTCCTTGGTACAATGACGAACTAAGACAATTGAAAGTAAAGCGTAGGAGACTAGAGAGAAAGATGCGGAAAACAAAATTAGAAGTAGATTGGACTGCCTATCGGAAAATATGTAACCGATATTGTTACTTGTTGAATAAAGCCCGAACTGATTATTGTACTTCCCTTATCAGTGATAGCTCCAACGATCCAAAGAATCTTTTCAGAATTGTGAGCTCCCTTTGTAATGCACCGCATGAAGATCCCTTACCACCTCATGACGATCTTGGTCAATTAGCAAATAGGTTCAACGCATATTTTTCCGCAAAATTGAATTGATTAGAGAAAATGTGGACAGTATCCATGTCGATCCTCCGTTGGTGCATTACCGTAATCCTGAAGTCAAATTAGAATCTTTTGAGATACTTTCTTCCCAGGATATTCATGATGTTATTATGCAATTGTCCAGTGCCAGCTGCAAGCTTGATCCGATCCCACCATGGCTTGTTAAAATCTGTTGTCTGGAACTAATTCCCTCTATCACCAAAATTGTAAATTTATCCTTGCAGGAGGGTCGTGTTCCAGATCACTGGAAAATTGCTCTGCTGAAACCAAATCTGAAAAAGTCTAGCTTGGACCCAGTATTTGAGACCTTTAGGCCTGTGAGCAATCTGTCATTTCTTTCTAAGATCACTGAAAAGGCGCCGCCAACCAATTGCTGAACCATTGTGAAAAACATGCACCTCTCCCTACCTGTCAATCTGGCTTCAGGAAATATCATTCGACAGAGACGGCTCTGCTAAAGGTGCAAAGCGATATTCTTCTGAGTATGGACAGGCAGGAAGTGTGTTTTCTTGTACTCTTGGACTTAAGCTCAGCGTTCGATACAATTGATCATAAAACTATCATTGACGTATTGGAGTATCAATTTGGAGTGACGGATAGGGCTCTTTGAAGAGTTTACATGAAGTACTTATGTAGGACTAGTTAGTGTAACCGCTGACTCGCTCTCTTGTTGACATTGGTTGTAATATATGAACAACGAGAGTGAGTGTTTCACCGGGATATCCAAACACGAGAAAACAATGTATGAGAACACGAGCGCGAAGCGCGAGTGTTTTCATACATTGTTTTCGAGTGTTTGGATATCCCGGTGAGACACGAGCTCGAGTTGTTTATATGGCTTCTCAAATGAATCGAGACGTAACAGAATGTTTTCGTTTGCTGATTTGAATAGAATTCTTAACCAAGCATAAAGTAATTAGGAATTCTATTCAAGTAATTTTGCATGCGTAATTAAGATATTTGATGAAAACACTAGTGACTTTCATCAAGTTTCACCGGGTTATCCAAATGGCATCTTGTGATCAAATAGGTGATTATCATTGGCTGAATTACTCATGAATTATTAATGAATTTGAGAATTATATTTGAAGTCTTTCATATTAGTTCATCAGATGTTGTTTGTTTTTAATACGCTAGTTTCAAGTCGTGTTTCTATATTATTGTAAGTATTCCTTACTTTGTATTTATCCTATTCGTTTATGTAGCTATATTTGTGTATAGAACGTTCACAGTTATAATTTCTATTCGTTGTATTTACCTAGGACTCTTTCATCGTCTTTGTTAAAATAAACATACAAAATTCGAGAAGGTTCTTTCTTCATGAAATAGTCATGGTTGTTGTAGAATGCTCTGTCCCACAATGCGATTTCAAAACTAATGATGTCTCAGAGGCACTCGCCATAGCTCTTCTATCAAACCATGGTCTGGCCCATCAAAACACAGTGCCTGCCGTGTCAACACAACCAGCACCTACATTTCAAGGCCCGAAACTTGAGCGACCCAAAATAGATGTCGGTGTGTCCATTGAAGACTGGAATGTGTTCGTCCGGCGATGGTAGGTTTTTCGAACCGGATCTGGGATCAATGATACATCAGCCCCATACCAATTATTTCAGTGTGCCGGGACCGACCTAGGTGATAGCCTCCTAAAAGCGAACCCCAATGCAGCCTCCGGTACCCTCAACGAACTGCTTACTGCCATGCGGTCCTTGGCAGTCATTCCTGTTGCTACCTGTGTATCACGGACTGAACTTCTTCAACTACGTCAAGAAAGGGATGAGGCTTTTCGTACATTTACAGCCAGGGTGCGAGGGAAAGCCGAGACGTGTGCCTTCACAGCAGAATGTGAGTGTGGTAAGGACGTCGACTACACAGATAATGTCATCCGTGACGTTCTTTTAAATGGCCTATCTGACCCAGACATCCGCCGTGAAATCCTGGGGACGCCCGACATCCTCAAAAAACCAGTCAATGATGTGATTGCCCTTGTTGAAAACAAGGAGATGGCCCGCAATGCCCTCCCATCATCAACCCTGTCTGCTGTGTCGTCGTTTCAGCGCCAAAAGAACCCGATAACAACCACCGCCACCACCCCGTCCCAAGTGGATCAAACGAAGGAGGCAACATGCCCAGACTGCAAGCACACCTTTAAAGTATTTACAGAGGGAGCCCGTGGGTGGAACACCAAACCTCACCAATTGTGCATCAATTGCTACAGAACTCGCCGCAGGAAAAAACGCCAACCCCGCCTGCCCCTTGACAATAAGCCCAGCCTCCAGGCCATAGAGCAAGACCCCATATCCCAGGTGGCAGTATTCCAAACCGCCCAGACAGACAGACACCGACGACATCATACACGTGCCTCAACCTCACATGGCAACATCAACAAAGCTTTAGCCACAAGACTTGACCACCATATATTCTCCAAAGGCGAATGGAAGCGAGCCCGCCTGCTAGATCATCCTAGAGTCAAAGTCACCATCTCTGTTGCTAAGTCAGCCGACACCAGAATCACCAGCCCTAGCCATGCCTCGGGCCGTGACACTGTGGTATCAGCAGTTGCCGATACCGGAGCACAATCTGACCTGTGGTCCCTTGATGATTTTCTTGCCTGTGGATTCTCACGTGATGAACTACGGCCTGTTAGCCTTAGCCTGTCAGCCGCAAACCGCTCCCCTATCTCCATCGAAGGAGCATTCTTTGCAAAGATCACAACGATACCCCACAGCGGCAATGTGATGTCGTGCCACTCTATGGTGTATGTCAGCAGCTCTGTCCAAGCCATGTATTTGTCTTATGAGACGTTACTTAACCTCGGCCTTCTTGCAAATGACTTCCCATCCATGGATAATGCAGGCACACCCAGTGAAAGGACCCAAATCGCCGACTCCGATGCTTCACCTGACCCTGCATCTATCAATGCCGCACGGTCACTCAACAATGGTTGTAATGCGCCCAACACTCCACATGACCCATGCTCGTGCCCCCAGCGTGAAGTTGCTCCACCACGTCCGCCGGTCCTGCCATTCCCCTGTACACCAGAAAATAATGATCGCATGAAGGCATGGCTACTTGCTCGATACTCTTCGTCCACATTCAACACGTGCCCACATCGGGCATTACCATGCATGGAGGGGCCATCTATCGAGATGCACGTCGACGCGACCGCCACTCCAAAGGCTTGCCATACACCAGCCAACATACCCCTACACTGGCAGCAGCAAGTGCATGACGACCTCCTTCGAGATGAAGCCCTTGGTATCATTGAGCGTGTGCCTTATGGCGAACCCGTGAAATGGTACCATCGGATGGTTGTAACACGGAAGCACGATGGTTCCCCACGTCGCACAGTCGATCTCTCGCCACTAAATAAGTTTTGCAAGCGAGAAACGTTTGCCATGGAGTCACCCTCCCACCTCGCACGTCGCATCCCCAAAGAGACGTGGAAAACAGTCACGGCCCTGGAATGGCTACCACAGCGTCCCCCTTCGAGAATCAGATCGTCATCTTACCACCTTCATCACGCCATTTGGCCGTTGGCGCTACCTGAGAGCACCCCAGGGTTTCCTATCATCAGGGGATGGATACAATCGCCGTTTTGATGCCGTCCTGTCGGCCTTTGTGCGTAAGGAACGCTGCGTCGACGACACAATCCACTACGACA